TAACCTTCTTTTCATGAATAAATAAGTTGCTTCAAGTATGCTTTATTTTTGCGAAATTCATTTAATTGTAGATTTTCTCTCTTATAAATGTATTACATTGTTTTAATATTAGTGCCTGGACTTACTGGTGGTAAAATGAGTTCCTCTTTAGGAGATTCAGGAATAGACTTATTGGATAATCTCTCTACTGTTAAGAAGAAGCTCAAAAAGGCATTTTGTGAACCTAGTAATTTAGAAGATAATGGAGTTCTGGCTTTTGTAAAACATGTGCTACTCTTCAAAGATGAAGGTTATGGACTTTCCTATTGTTTTCAGATCGTTTTTAAAATTGAACATTTATTTTGAAATGTAAGATATTTGTATGTCTAATTTTTTTTTTATCTTACTTTATATTTGCCACATAATTTTTTTAAACAACTGAAATAAAAAAAATGTATTTTGTATTGAATATTCAAAAAAAAAAATCATTTTAAGATTCAGAAATTTTCAAAAGTGGTGTCAGAAAAATGAATTGTTTGTTTATTAAAATGAGCCATTCGTGTTTTCGCATTTTGTAACGTGGTTTTTTTATGTAAAAAGTTCTTTGAAAAAAAGGTTAAAATTATACTTAAAGTAGTTTCTGTAAGCATTACCAAGCTAAGATTTTTAATATCAAACTTAGAACTGTAATGTATGGTAAATTGCCGGTTAAGTTCAATTCCATATAATTTCTTGCTCTATGCTCACCTATACTTAGTTTTATGAAAAGTTATTTTATATTTCTTTTATTATTTAATTTGCATTTCTTTAGATTTTGTCATTCGTCATTCAGAGAAATGATGAAAATGGTGGAAACACAAATTATAAAAATAATGTGTATATAGAAGACGACTTTGAAAATATGTGTGTATTTGTGTTAAAATATGTTAATAAAGATTTTCAAAATGTTAATCACCTGCATATGTTCATCATATTTTCTTTATGTTGATTGTGTTGAAACGTTATTGTTACACATAGTTGTTTAAAAATAAAATAGGAAACACAATCTATAAAATAATGCTTTATATTTTGAGAGATACAAATATATTTTTATGTAGTAAGTGACAAGAGGAGGTAGNAAAAAACTTTGAAATGCAATAAACAAAAAAAGTACGCTACATTAGAAACATGCATAAGTTAAACATTCAGTTAATTTTTTAAATTTCATGAATTTATCTGTAAATCAAACCACGTTTAATCTTTTCGAAAGCTTATTTCATCTAAAGCGTGACGTCAATAAACTACTATGAAAATATGCATATAGTAAGGTTCTTTATAGTTTTGTAGTTTTTTCACCTCCCGATTTTAAAATGGTAATTGTGTTCTCCCTAATAACCTGTAATGTTACGTAATTTATCCTCAGTGGTAGATGGATCATGGGTTGGAGTCAGGCTAACCATGGGACGTTTTCGTGGTTTTCCTCCCCATGTAACGCAGATGCGGGGTAGTTCCATCAAAAAGTTCTCCACTTAAGCAAATTTCTCCCATTACTGTATTCAGGAGTTTTCTTGTCTTCTGGATTGAGTTCTAAATTACAAGGCTAAGGAGTTGAACATTGGTAGCCGTAAAATCAAATTTGGGTCTGCTGTTCAACAACGGCTATAAAGTATAAAATAACCTGCA